TACTGGAGATGCATGCATGTAAAATGGCTAAATAACCTGAACACGCCGGTGTTACGCATACACATCATTTTACCTTCTTTTAGAAAACCCTTGGGCTAATTCCGTTCAACATAAAACGAGCTACACAGATTGGCTAACAGAATAATAATATGATATGATGGACGAAGGAAAGTTAGGTGATGTGTAGAGCCGGTCGGTACAATAGTTTGTGATGAGGGCAGATTTGGCCCTCCAGTGAAATTGCGACATGTGGTACCTCGTGACAACTAGGCAAACACTCAGGCAACAACTTACCAAGTTGGTATCCCACCCGGGCACCGGTCTGGCCGGCTTGGCGCGATCTGCACGTAGGCTATGGGCAGCCTGCGTGCGGCCTGCGCGACTTGGCACATGATCTGACCTGGCCGACCTAGCCGCCCATAAGACGCCCATCGATGAACCATAGCGGCGTACCCCGCGAGCTCGGTAGCTCACCAAGGAGCTCGGTAGCTCACCAAAGAGCTCGCCAAGGAGCTAGGCTTCTCTCCAAGGAGCTCGCCACCAAGGAGCTAGGAAGCTCGGCAGAGCTCGCCACAAGCAGCTCGGCATAGCTCCCTCGGGCAGCTCGCCCCTTGTAGGGTAGCTCGGTACAGGAGTAGTTTGGCGTATCGCAGGAAGATCTCTTGCTTGACAACCTGGCCTAGACACCGACCCGCCGACTAACACAGGCGCCGACCTGACAACCTGGCCTAGACACCGACCCGCCGACTGATGCAGGCGCCGCCCTGACAACCTGGCCCAGGTGCCAACCTGGCCGCCTGACACAAGCGCCAGCCTGACGACCTCGAGGAGTTCACCACCATACCCCGGTTCTGACGGGATGTGACGAGTCTTACCGTTTGGAGGCTTTTCACCCACCTAACCCGCAAGGACTCCGATATATAAAGACCTCACCCTCCAAAGGGGGGGAGGAGGGGAAAAGGGATGGTAACCCCTACCCTCTAGCTCTCTCATTTCTCTCCAAGCTCTCATTTCACTCCAAGCTCTCTGTAATCAGAATGCTAACTTAGGCATCGGAGAGTCCCCGCCGGGAAAATACCCCCGGGTCCTCTGATTCAGTTCTCGCAGGTCCCTCAGCTCCCGCCGCCTACAAAGGAGAGGAAATCACCTCATGCAGAGGGTAGTCGGGTTGCGTTGAACCAAGGAGCTCCACCATCCTCTGAGTTGCAGACCGCCTAGGAGCAGGTCAAATGATGAGTCCACCAGGGAGCTCGCCACCAGGCAATTCGCCACTAGGGAGCTCACCACCAAGTAGTTCGCCACCAGGGAGCTCGCCACCAGGCAGTTCTCCACCAGGGAGTTCGCCACCAGGCAGTTCGCCACCAGGGAGCTCGCCACCAGGCATTTCGCCACTAGGCAGCTCGCCACCAGGCAGCTCGCCACCAGGGAGCTTGCCACCAGGCAGTTCGCCACTAGGGAACTCGCCACCAGGCAGTTCTCCACCAGGGAGTTCACCACCAAGTAGCTCATCACCAAGGCACATCACCACCGGGTCAAATAACGAGGTACTTAGCCAAAAAAAAATTATACATCACAAAAAATGGTACGTGACCAGAAACGGTTACATCAGTTTGAAATTTACTTTTTAAGCAACTTGGGCTAGAGTGCTAGGCCATGTGCAGTTCCATTACTATCTCCGTAAATGTGATTCACCTCACACCTCCATTGAGAATACGCTGCTGCCATGCTAGTTCAACATTCTCCACCAACATGAGATCACAAACATGCTTAGTTCAAGTGATTGCTCTTTGTCCGAATATATAAATGCTATGCTTAATTTAAGTTTGTAAGTAAATACTAAAAGAAGTTGTCTGAACAAAGACAAAGGTACGAGGGTTGTAGGAGGGCTAGATTTAGGGATAAAAAGTTTTTCTGTAAAGCCCCGTCCCACCCTAAATGGGGTGGGTTTTTTTCTGATCTTAAACAGGGAAGGAAAAAATATTTTTGTCTTAAAACGAGGATGGAGTAGTTTGCATAGAATTCCCCGAACCCGCCCCGAACCTAATGGTAAATTAGTAAAACATCATTATATTTAATATTGATTTTTTTTTTAAATATCTCTAAGTTTTCACTAAATTATTAAAATCCTAGAATCTTATAATTCCATTTCTAAAGTATTCTCAGATTTTCATAATTCAGTTCTTAAAATATCCTCAAATTCCCATAATCCTATTTGTAAAATATCCACAAATTAAATTATTTTTAGGTGATTGCCTCGGGGCGGAGAAAATTTAGGAATTCCTTGTCCTTGACGAGGAATGGGGATGCCCCACCCTAAACCCACCCCACCACCGAGGATGGGGCAAAGCATTTTGACTACAAGGCGGGGATGCCCCACCCTAAACCCGCTTCATTACCATTCCTATCCTTGTGACTACTCACACACCATTCCATGTTTTCATGCTTATCAACTCAAGATTTAACCATTGCACCAAGTAATAGTCTATTGTTTGAACCAATATTTTCAAGTCATCCTTAACACAGCTGGTTGAATTGTTCAACCTGTGACCCGGTTCTGATTTTGGTTTGGATTAACTTAAAACCCACAAAATGTTTAAAAACTATTGACTTGGTCAAAACATGTTCAAGCCAAGTAGTTTAATTGCTGAGTCACTTGACTTGATTGATGAGTTATGGGTTATAAAATACAATTTTGTAGAAAACTTTGTAGGCCATAACTTTGCACTCAGTTGTTTCATCCGAATGGTTGAACCAATGACATGCAATCCATTGGGAAAAATGATTCCGCCTTCAAGTTGATTTTTAAAACAGTGGTATGAATAAATACCATTTTGGTCTAATATAACCCTAGGGGTGAGCAAATGAATAGGTTCTACTCAAAACCGAATGAAATTGATCTCCAACTAGCCTCAAATAATCCTATCCAATTTGTTACCGGGTAGGCCGCTTGATTCTAAATTCTTGGGAGCAACCCCAACCTAGAATAATTTTAGGGTCTAGGGGTTTATCCTACTTGAATTGACATAGAGAGCTAACCTTGGTTGGTCTTGGTGGAATTGACCTTGAAATTTAACTTGGTTTAAAACAAATCCCAAAATAGTTTGAGGATGTGAAGATTTGAACCCAAACATAAGTCCATGGTCTCACTTGACTATTGATTCACTTAAGTGATTTAATCTAAATAATAATATTTGAATAATGTGTACAATAAGTAATCTAAATATATAGTATAAATTAATAAAATTTTGAATTATATTATTATTATTTAAAAAAAATTAAATTTTTAAAAAACATATTCCATTTTTGAGTAAAGGAAAGAATAAGTTCGACTTTGAAACTACCAAAGCCAAAGCCGACCTATGTTCCGGTTCCAAAAACTTGAGATGCCTTGTAACCGAACTGAATGAACCCATGCTCTCCCCTGCATAAATTTATAAACCCAATTTTGTAGTGCTTTTTTTAATCAAGTATTTTGTTCATTGGCAATCGACTAAAAAGGCTCCTTCAAAAATTGCTGATACAATTGGTCATGCTGTCCTGATAAATGTGTCCTTGAACCATTGGAGAACCCCCAAAAACAGGGTATATAGTACGGGTACTTTTGTAGTAAATGTAGAGAAAGGCCTCACATTGGATGTGTACATTTTATACTGTGCCGACATAATTACGACGGACGGTGTAACAGTTACGTTGCTCACAACTGTATCTAACGTTGGCTTCTTTTATCGTTTTAACAGATATAACGGCCGTTAGTTTATTACTTTCAGAGCAGACCCAGCGGCCAGCCCCGTACTACCGTTATTAATAAAAGATGGTTTTAGATGAATTCGTAGAGAAAGCATCAAAGCACCCTGCTGAAGACCTGAAGTTGGCATCAGCGGTGATAGCGGCGTTCTCGTTCCGTCGCAAGGAAGAGTCTACTCTTCGCTGGGCTACGCCTGCTGCGTACAGTTGCCAACTCCAATTTCCCCCAGCTCTGCTGTTTTGTAATGTTCTGCGTCCAAAGCCAAAAAGCTTCAAATCATGAAAGTTAAGCTTTTAACCTGTAATGATGTAATGGGAGAGAGATCGAGAGAGATACACTCAAAGAGCTAGCTACTTCTACTTATACTTCAGCAGGCTCTCAGCTAAAGCGGCTTTATTAATAAGTCATTAAGCACCCAAAGAACATTGACTTCTTACTCAGTCCACGGTCTGTCAGACAAGCGGTAAGCCGAAGCAGGAAAAGAAATCACCACTGATCACCAGACTCTCTTCCGTCACTCATCTTCACAACAATCTCCATCTCTCTTTCTTCGTTTCTGAGCTTTGTCTCGTAACCACTCCAAGCAAAACCAAATCACCGTCACTACATCCAACCCAACAAGGACAAGAAGGGTGGCCAAATCAGGAGACAGCAGCCTCGTTTTCTGCAGCTTTGTTTCATGCGAACTCAGAAACGAAGCCAGCTTCTTCCTCTTCTCACCTCCTTTCTTATTCAGGAAAACCGCATTTCCCCATTAATCTAACATTCCTGAATCGTTTCCCAACAACATTTCCTCTGATTATACCCACAGAAATCAATCAATTAATCCTCACCCAGAATTAATTCCTCCTACAAACCAGCCTGTCTGAACCAGGACAAAATGGCGAGAAAGGAGATTAACTCTCACGCCCTTCAAATTGTTTAATTTTTAATTACATTAATTAATTAATTAAGTTATTTATCTGGGTTTTGCCTTTTTCTTCTCATTTAGTTCCTTATAATCATGTCACTATCAAGTGACAGGTGTTCCGGAGGGTCGGTCCCATGTCTCCCTCCCACGGAAGCGTCTGGCGTTGCATGTTCATGTGCTCATGGCCATCATGTATGCTCATGCATGCATGTATGCCATAGTATCCTCACATACATTATCATATTTATTATTTTTCGGAAGTTATTTTATTTTACTTAAGAAATATATATAGCTTCTCTCTCTCTCTCTCTCTCTCTGATCTATTATACGTCGCTTTCTGTCATAAATAGGGGACGGAGAACTGAGTGGCGAGGAACACCGAACCCAACCCAAGCCAGCAGAGAGCGAGCGGGAAAAATATGGAAAAGCTACCAAAAAGCGAGCTCTCTGCCTCTTTCGCATCAAATTCTTGCTTCTGAATCCGACGTCAAAGTTGTCGGTCACCGCCGCCGGAATCTCTATCGCCACCAACAACCAATCTCGATCCTTTGTTCTTCGTTGAAATTTTATTATATTTTCTTCTTTTTTTTTGTGTGTGTAGGAGAAACTGGAGCATGGCTACGTTTGGAGGCTTTTCGATCCGGTAAGTGTCGATGGTTTTTGTTAGGAGTTCTCGTATGGGGCTGAAGCTTGTGATTTGGTGTTTCAGAGAGTATACTTTGAAGATGAGAAGCGTTGACGTGAAGATATGTTGGCCGTTCGGTGGAGATGGGAAGGAGAAGAAGACGAAAGAAGAGATGGAGAAATTGCTTCCTCCGTTAATGTGTCCGAAATACCGGTGGTGGGAGGACGAGCTCGAGTTGGTGAGATCTAAGCAAGTTGATGAGAGGAAGGAGAAGGTTCTAGAAGAAACGGAGAAACCGGTCTCCGGCGACGGAAGCGGTTTGGTGTCGGAAAAGGCGGATTTGGGGGCTGGAAAAGCGGGTTCGGGAACGGAGGAGGAGAAATTGGCAATGATCTGTCCGGTCTGTCGGAGTTTTACTGCGTCAACGGTGAATGCGGTGAACGCGCATATCGATAATTGTCTCGCTCAGGTGTCTTCCGAAGAAGGGAAGCAGACGAGAACGACGGCTGAAGCGGCGGCGGCAGTGAAGTCGAAGACGAGAACGCTGAAGAAGAGATCTATTGTGGAGATCTTTAAGGCTGCGGAGCAGATCGAGAAGGCGGAGGTTGATTGTAATGAAGAAGCGGAGCAGGTGTCTGAAGAGGATTTGGATTCTACAAAAGCTGCGAAAGCATCGGATGGTGTTGTGAAACGTAAAAGGAAGCAGAAGATGTCGAGAGAGGAAGCCGTAGCTGTTGCAAGGAAACTGAAATTGAAGAACAAGAGAAAGAAGAAAAAGAAAACGAAGAAGAGTGAGACTGCAGTCTTCGATCCATCGAATAAAGGGAAGAAGGTACGCGATTTTCTCTAAAACTATGTTTATTTTTTTCTTCTATTCTCGATTGTTGGTTGCTTGATTGCTACAGTATTTCTGTGTTTAGTTAGATCTTCATTGTTTGTTATCTTTTAATTTTATCTTCAATATTGTTTCTATACTCTTTCTGCTCAAGATTTATGACTGCAAAGCATTAGGACCTTTTTTTATGAGTTTGAGGATAAAAGCCACGCGTAATTCTTGTACATGCTTATGTGAATTTCGCTGCTCCTACGAGGAGCTTCGGTATAAAGGGAAAAGTTAAAATAAGAGATGGGGTTCCATGTTATTGGAGATTTTTAGGATTCTGAAGTGATCTGTGCTGCTCCAGCTGTCTGTACGGGTTCAGCAGCGATGGTTCTTGTGTGAGAAGATATGATTGACAGTCATACTGTTTTGGAGCAGTTGGGTTTGGATCGTATGGTTAGTTTTTTATCGTGTTTGTTTTCCAAACGTTAATCGTACATGGACTGTTGAATTCTAACAGCTAAACAGATATAGGAAATGCCACTTATTCTAGATTCTTTTTGGTTGTTATATATGGTAACCAAATCGATATCACATGTGCAATTTGTGGTCAGATCATGAAATGTAGACATCAAATGTACAACAATCGCTTACAACCGAGTAACGACCATCTACTTATTTTCATTGATTTAGAAACCAATCCATTAGGGGAGGGAATTTCATGTGGATATTCCTCCATTTCACTGAGCCGTATTTCCAAACTCTTGTAGATTGTCTAGCACTCGGGATGTGAGATCTTATGGATGAGAGCATGATGTTTGTCAACAATGTTGTGAAATAGGAAGGTTCTTGTAGAGCGCTCCTCTGGTGTTAGGGGGTTCCAAATATGCTTGATCACTTCATTCATTCTTTGCTCCATCAGCTTTAAAATCTTAAATCTTAATTGATCACATATTTTCTTTCTAGACTTTGGTCTTCAATGAAGCTTCCCATTTTTTAACAAGATTATTGGTTAATTTGAAGATAGAAAAAATTATAAGATGATGGCATGAGTTTGATACTGCGTAGTAGTTCTTTCATATTCTTTTATCAACATAGAAATAATGGTTCTCTTTGATACTCTTTTATAGATATATAAATAATTTCACATCGTTTTTCGTACTGAAATCTTCTAGTTTAATTGAACACAAAAAATGACTAAACAATAAAATACAAGCAAGAAATCATGATGTGATTTGATTAGATATTGCTAGGTATTTTCATGGGCCGAGGTACAATGGTTAATTGCATGTGCTCCTAGGATTTATTTGACATTACATTATTGACATGAAGACTCAAGTAAATTAGTTATGGGCATATAGACACATGCCATATTGAAGAATAATACGAAATTATCAAGTAAACAAGCAATCAAACACTATATCTAGTGGAATATAATAATTATGTTATAACTTACGGTAAGTACTAGAAATTGTTCTGTAACAAAATAATAGTTGTGAACTTATAATGAACTCCAAATGCAAACACTAACCTATACCATAGAAAAATCTATGATGCTAGAAAGACATGATACCATAAAGACTTTGATCATTAAAACTCTCGTGAATTTTGATGAAAACCAACCTGCTGATTGGTTGGTTTTCACTTTTATGATGCCGTTGATTGGTTACAAGTTTTTCTGGTTGGTTATCACCAAGTGCAGTTGTCCACATCATCTACCTTCTCTTGCTTTCCAATCCTTTTATAATTTTGTGTCTTTTGTTTTAAAAAATAAAACACGGGCTACTCACAACAAAACATCCAATCAGTCCCCTATAAAACATATTTAGGCATCTTTTAACACCAGCCCATGCATTGCACTGGTCTTACACAAGTTGAAATGTACTTAACTTAATGGCTGTTGCATAAGTAAAATTTATACTTCTGTCATCACTGTTTTGTACTGCTATTTTTATAATTGCGATATCGGTTTTGATATTTTAATGCTCTGAGTTTATATTCCAAAACCATGAGCATGTAACCAACCAAACCATCAATATGGAAATACCAAATGAGATTTTTGGTCAATACACAGATTATGAGCCAAGATCCGTGCAATGTCATGCTGATACTATTACCGTAAGGAAAATGAAAATCCAGCTATCATAGGTTTCAAGCATTTCCACCTGTATTGGTCATTCCACAGTTTCCTAAGGCTCAGTTTGGGAAGAGTACAAATATAAATATGTACAGTGCAAAACCTTGTATATGATATTTCTAAACCTTGTATTTGCACTGTACATATTTGTATTATTTGCACTATTCCTAAACCGAGCTGTAGGGCCCATCTTCTACACACGAGCCTTAGGCTCAGTTTGGAAGGATTACAAATACAAATATGTATTTTGTCTTATTTTGTATGTATTTGTGCTGTACATGTACATATTTGTATTTGTACTCCTTCGAAACTGAGCCTTAGTCTCAGTTTAAGGTTCAGTTCGGGAAAAGTGCAAATAATACAAATACAAGGTTTTGCAGTGAACATATTTGTATTTGCACTCTTCCCAAACTGAGCCTAATGTTCGATAATTCATGACAAACATTTATACTAGATTCAGTATTGTGGCTACCATTGTAGAAACTTACTGATACAGGATTTAGGCACTGAAAGGTAATATGTGATTATAGTATCTAATACTCAGCTATTTTGTCCTCTCATTATTATCTTCAAGAACTGAACTGTAATCATTTGACTCCTATTCATTCTTATAGCTTATTCTTCTCCTGAATTTTTTGTGTAGGGTAGAATTCATTTATACCTACAAATTTCTTAGACTAGAAGCACGTTTGGACCATTAAAATTGGCCTTACAATTTAGTTCTAATTACTTACAATTTCATGAAATATAACATCTCTTCAGAACATTTGGCATGTCTGCTATGTGATGAAGTTATAATCAATTTGATAGAGATTATCCTAGATAAAGCAATTTGGTTTATACTTCAGAGTCATGTAGAGGTCAAGAGTGCTTTGTTCTTGTTCTTGTCCTATTGGGGAAAGCTGATGTTCTCTCAATTTCTTTCCAATAAGAATTTCATCTACTGTGCTTAGGATTTCTTTTTATGATAAGCAATAAGAAGTGTTTTATTAAAGACTAAATAAGAACTATGAAAGGATACAGGATAAAAAGTCCACAGAGAGGCATGATGCAGCCTCAAAAATAAATCAAGATTACAATTGAGCCCAAAATCAATGACCCCTATGCATCCCTTGCTTAGCTTGAAGGTATGCCAGTCCATTAGCCGATCCCCTCTCCCACTGGACTCTCACTATTATGTTGGAAGTTAGCCATTTGAATCTTCTCATCGCTCTTCTAAAGACCAAGCTACAGTCTCTGGCTCCTTTAGCCACCCAAGCTACTGTGCTTAGAATTTTGTCGTTTAGCTTACCACAATTGAGTAATATAGAGAACAATTCTTGACTAGTATTACTCTTTTTTTCAGAGTTTTGCTAAATGAGTTGGACTGCTACTGATATTGATTATGGGGAAACTGCAAATTTCTTAAAAACTGAAAATGGCTTGAAGAGTGATCACTACCAGGATCTAAACTTCTACGTAGATACAACCATTGATTCCTCTCAGCAGTGGATAAATGATATGGAAATAGATGTAGGGGACTATATAAAAGTACTGTAAGAAAACCACAGAAAGCATTGGACTATTCTGGATATTATGGAAAACTACAGGATGCTTGTTTTGATATTTTAGGAGCATTATTATATATTTGGGACTAATTTCATAAAACACAACCACCACCAAAAGAATGGAAACCGTGCCCAACAAAAAATAACAAAAACTGTACATTTTTTGGAGGTTTGATACATATGAAATTGTCTGCATGTAGTTCTATATCAGGTAACAACATAGCAAGATTAGTCACAATATCATGAAATTCACTACAACAGTATTGCAAGTCATTATCACCCTTATAGTATGAAATGGATGATAAAGTTGCTGCTCCAACTACTTGCAGTATAGCAGTTGTTGAGAGTGTAAGGGCGCTTATGTCCTTTCGTGATTTTTTGTATTTGGGCGCCTATTCAAGGGCCCATTTGTAATTTTCTTAAAAAAGTTAAGAAGGCCTCTTCAGGGTGTGAATAGTAACACACCTAGGTTCTTCGATTACTTTAACTTGGTATCAGAGYGTCGGAAGATCAAGGAGAGCATCAGCTGCTGGTCATGACTCACAGACGAACTTGTTGACGCCAGCTTGCCGTTGGTTGATGTCAGCAGCCCGTACATTCGGTGGCGTTCATTTGCGGTTTTGACACCCCTTGATGCGTTTCATTTTTAGAGGAATTTTGATATACATTTCATGGAGGTTTGAAGCTCTTTTACATTTTCTTAGATTTTTTAGATGAAAATTGGCAAAAATTACAGATTTAGAGTTTAGGGCTTGCATGCTCGCATGGTGGGCTGGTTGCTGTTAAATCCACTTGCGTTTGAAGTGTGGTAAATTTCTGAGATTATAGGAAGCAGTCTCAGATTTTTTGGAGCCCTAAACCTTTTTTTGGGATTTTTTTTCTTCCCCTATTTTGCCACCAGCACCTTCTTTTCTTTTGTTTTATTGTTGTAGCCCGTGTTTAACCTTCAAGGAAAGGTGTTTGGGTGTTCAGCTAGTGTTGGGAGATTGTGGTGTTGGTGAGAAAAGTGTTTTTAGAGGGGTGGTGATCAATGGACTCACACAAGGATGTGTATGTACCTACCTATGTCCTCCCGGGAAGTAATGGCAGTGCTGGAGGGCAAATTACTATTGTAAAACTTGATAGAACAAATTTTATTGAATGGTCTCAATCAGCTAAGCTTACAATCGGAGGAAGAGGTAAGCTTAGGTTTATTACAAATGGGAGCAGGATAATTTGCTGGTTATGTCTTGGCTGGTATGCTTTATGCAGCCTCACATTGCCCACAATTATACGTTCCTTCCAACAGCTAAGGACATTTGGGATAGGTTAACTTTTCAACTTATTCTCAAGCGAAGAACACAGCTAGAATCTATCAATTGCGAAGAGAAGCATGTAATATGCGACTGGGGGAGAAATCGGTGGTCATGTATTTCTCTTCCTTACAATCATTTTGGGAAGAAATGGATCATTTAGAAGCTTTGGAGTGGAAGGATCCTATTGATGCTGAACAATATAGGAAGTGCATTGAGAAAAACCGAGTTTTTGATTTTCTTGTTGGATTGAATGCTGATTATGATTTCACCAGGCAACATATCCTTAGTGCTGATATCTTGTCACTCTCCATAGTATATTTATGGTGCAGAATGAAGAGAGTAGGAGGATTGCCATGATGCAAGTTCCTGTCAATGAGCACACAGATCTTGTGTCTACAAAACCCAAATAGAGTTCTGGTAAACCTGAAGATGTAGTTTGTGAACATTGCAAGAAGCCAAGGCACACCAAGGATAGGTGCTGGAAACTAAATCCCCACCTAAAGCCTAAGAATTTTAAAACCAGAAAGAAGGTAAATGCTCATGTTGCTACAGCTAGTCATGATTCTCAGACTCACATGCTTGAGGGGAATTCTTCTGCTCAGGCATCTACTCATGACACCTCTGATGTGATGGAAAAATTGAGTGGTATCTTGCTCCATCTTGAAAAGAGTGGGTTACCTACATCTGCTGGTTCACATACACCTTTTAGTGCCTTTGCAAAATCAGGTACTACACTTGCATGTCATGCCTCATCCTTTGGCCCTTGGATAATTGACAGAAGAGCCAGTGATCATATGACTGGTATGCCTTCCTACTTTACCACGTATAAACTTTTTTCAAGGAAAGGTAAGATTACTGTTGTCGATGGATCTCAAACTCCAATCTCGGGTTTGGGTGAAGTTAAACTTACCAACAACCTTTCTCTGAAACAGTTCTCCATGTCCCACAATTGCATGGAAATCTCTTATTTGTTAGCTCTCTTACAAAGTCTCATAATTGTTCGGAAACATTCTTTCCATTTTATTGTGTCTTCTAGGATCCGAGTACGGGGAAGACGATTGGCAGTGGACATGATGCCGATGGAGTTTATCTTCTTGATCAGTCTCCAAAGTTTGGGTTAATGTGTTAGTCTGAGTATTGTCATGATGAAAAACTAAGTCAATTGAAATCGTGGCATCACTGTCTTGGGCATGTGTCTTTTGGTTCGTTGAAGTTTTTGTTTCCTAGTCTGTTTGAGTCCTTGTCTAGTTCTGGTTTACAATGTGAAGTTTTCCAACTATCAAAGCAATGTAGAACCACATATTTTGCAAGTAATGAGAGAAGTAATGTTACTGATGTTTGGGGACCTTATTCTATTCCATGTATGGGTGGTTATAAATATTTCATTCTCTTTGTTGATGACTACTCGCGGTATACTTGGCTGTATTTGATGAAGAGCCGAGATGTAGTTCCTTCAATTATAAAAGGTTTTCTTAATATGGTGGAGGCACAATTTGAAAAGAAGATTAAGATTATTAGATCTAACAATGCCAAGGAATACTTGGAGAAGCACTTACAAACTTTCCTTGAAGAGAAAGGAGCAATTCACCAAAGTTCATGTCCTCATACCCCCAACAAAATGGGGTATCAGAGAGGAAAAATAGACATGTGGTTGAAGTTGCTAGGGGATTGTTATTCCAGATGCATGTCCCAACTCGGTTCTAGGGGGATGCTATACAAACAGCTTTATATCTTATTAATAGACTTCCTTCACGGACCCTTCATCTCCAGTCTCCTCATCAGCTTCTTCTGTTTTGTCCATGACATGAGTCCTTCTAGGTTAAAATTTGATCCAAAGTCTATTAAGTGTGTCTTCTTGGGATATTCTTCAGTCCAAAAAGGGTACCTTTGTTATGACCCTCACTCTGGAAAAAGGTATGTGCCCAAAGATGTTACATTCTTTGAGTCTACTCTCTTATTTTCCTCTTCTTGTCCTTCTCTTCAGGGGGAGAAAGCTAGTGAAGATCAGACTCCTTTTTGTATGCCAATTCCTACTCCAACTATAATTGGTGTTGTTGATCCTTCCCCTTCTCCTCTTCTTCCTTGTGGTGGTAGTAATACTCCTCCTGTGCCTCCTCCCATTCCTTGGTCTTGGCACCAGTGGTTCGTTAGACGAAAAAAGAGGATGACTCCAGAGATTGAATGTCTATTACAATTTGACTTCCTGGACTTAGGTAATCTGGATTCTGAACCTCTTCTTCTTTTTGATACTTGCGGTGAACTTATTACTGAGCCACCTTGTGTGGTTTCTAACCTTAATCTTCCTATTGCGGTTCATAAAGCAAAAATGACATGTGCTAAATGGTGCACTTATTTCTAACCTTCTTTCTTCCCTCCTCTCTTCTCTTCTCTTCTCCTCTTCTCTCCTCTTCTCTTCCTCTTATTTCTGGTCGGCCATACTGTCAAGAAGGTACACTATATTTGCTTTTTTAGGACCAATTAGTGTTGGGAGCTCCATAAGAGCTGAGCTAGATGGTGCACTTCAAGGTCTGATATTGGCCAAGGAGTCTGGTTTCTTAGAACTAGTAGTAGAAGGATACAAAATTAATTGTGTGCTACTTAAGAAATCTCCATCAGATTAGAGAAGGAAGACAACTTTGTCATGGGACACAAGAAGATATTCTTTGGACATATTGGTGAGCTAACTCAATGGAAGACCCTTGCTTGTGAGGGTGTGGGTAGAGAAGATTTGAGGTGAGGTGAATATCCTTTGGGATAATAATCATATTTAAGGGTAGGTGTCTCTTTGGAACAAAGGATAGTACCGTGCTGTTATATCTGACCCTATACTTATATACATGAATGTACAACTTGTGCATCATCTTTTTTTTTTTTTTTAAAGCAAGGTATATTGTTGCACAAATAGAAACTTTTACAAAACTTTTCCCTACAGTGAGTCACTGTAGGAGCAAACCAACACCTAGCCACATCAAAGCAACTTACAAGTTCATTACAATCCAAATCAACTCTGTTCAGACAAAAACAAATCTTCTGTACCTTGACTAAACTCTTTCTCAACAGCTATCCGCGATCCCAGTCTGCCCACCATATTCTTTATCACTTTATTTTCATGTGTGAACTTGTTCTCAAACAACCTTCTGCTTCTTTCCATCCATACTGACCACATTAAAGCTGCCAGAAGAGCTGACCACATTGAGGCAATCATATTTGTTTTGCTGGACACTTTCTTCTGGAACTTGAACTTGCTTAGTTTACATCTAGATAAATAGAATGTATGACCTTCTTTTTAAATGAAATATTACTTTATTCTAAAAGAAGAAATGTGGTATATTTTTTTTCTTGCAAGTCGATTGCTTATCGTTCTTAAATTTGATGTTTGACACTTCCACAGTGTTGCTTTAACATTCGCCTAACTCTGCATCTCTTGTTCATGTGAAACGTAGTGCTGGATTGCATATGAATTCAAAATGCGTTAATGATTTGGTATGGCATGTCTCTTTTGCAGGGAAAAATTAGTAAACTAAAAGTTCCATCTCAAGCTGATATCTCCGGACGAAAAAAAGTTTCATTACACAATAAGAGGTTGGGAAAGGACATCTCAGATACTGGTGTTATCCCAAAAAAGAGACAATCAAGCATGAAAAGTTCCTGTACACAAAAAATTGTACAAGATTCCGAATTAGTACCAGAACACCAGCAGCATGAAAAACCAGTTTTTCCCATTCACAGTATTCTGAAGAATCGGGCAACAGCCATTTCCAGTGAGTGCTCTGCTGGTTTAGGTGATATACAGGGTGGTAATCAAATAAACCTTAGACGAGGTCAACAATCAGACAAACATGTCAGATTTTCAGGTAAGGATGACATACTTGGACCAATAAAGAAAGGGTGCCCTTCCATTGATCTGCCTCAAGTGCAAAGCCTTGGAAAAGTATTTCCTGATGTCATAGATGCTCTACCATTACATGATCAATCTATGGAAAATAATAAAAAATTATCCCCTGCGATTGAGGCCCTGGAGGTGGATGGAAGTAATGAAAATGTTGCTGTTAGCATTAGAAACGGAACTGAGTTCCTACCTGCACATGAAAATATATGTTTGGATGATAATCACAGTTGTCCCATTTCACCAACATCTCCAAGTCAACTTAAAAGAGATTTCCAGGATAAAGAAAAAACTCCAGATGAATTTGTAGACCTCAACCAGGAATTACAGCATGATGATAATTTGTATTTGCTCAATCAAGGTAACCTGACTGCCTCACAGTCTCTTTCACATGTGGGCATTCCCCAACTCCTCCATTCTACTACAAATAGGGGATTTAATCCCATTGTAGAGGCTCAAGCAGATGGAAATATCCAAGGGATATCTGATACTGGGATAAATCTACCCGATCCCTGTGCAGATTCTATTCCAAGATCTGTTGCAATGTATTCATTGACAAACAGAAAGGCAAATTTTCAGTTCTTACCATCCTGTTCTGCTACAAATACAGAAAAAAGTGCAAGGCATCCATTTCTGTCACAAGACACCACTCAAAGGCTCAACCATTGTGCTTCACCTTACCCGTCACTTGGTCACCTGACTGCTAGGGATTTAATGAGCAGCATATGTCCCTCTGTTGAGTGGAAGAAGCAAAGAGAAGCTATTTTCAGAGATAAGTGCATTGGTGAAGGTTTTATTGGTTTGCCTCTTAATTCACAGGGGGAACTGATCCCTTTGCATTCAAGTGGTAAAGCAGGGTTCCCACTGCAGAAGCAAAACACAATTATTGGGACTTCAAGCATTTCCCCAAAGCATCATCTTCTGGAGACAAAGAGTGTATTTGATAATTCACACTTGAAAGAGAAGGGTATTGCTGAGACTGGACTTACCAGAGACAACTTAAAACTGGTTGCTGAGAAACCCTATCAGAAAGAAAACTCTAAAGTATCATTTTCATCTTTGTTAAGTATTAGTGGATTCCAATATACTGGAGGTGCAGATGTTCACAGGCATGATTCAGTGAGGGGAAACAACCCCTCTGCCTATCAATTTGATTCCGACCTGAACCTCGTTGACATACCTTCTTCTGGGCATAAGTATACTTCAACTCCACATCAAACTGAAGGTGAAAAGATTCAACCAAAGGAAATTCAGGACTGTGGGTTTCCGCTTACCACCCAACCAACATTGCGGCTGATGGGTAAAGATGTTACAGTGGGTGTACGTAGCAAAGAAGTCCAAGGTTCTGAGGATGGAAAGATATGGACAGATAAGGAAATTGTGTCAGAGCATCGTCCTGCCATTGTTGCACCAGGCAACTCTTCTCTGAAAGGACATTTCCAGCCTGAATTGGTTATACTTCCAGTATCAGAAGAATTGAAAGAAACTATAATTTCTTCATTTGAACCAAGAAGTTGTTCTCCCTTACAAAGTATTTTTCAGGAGAAAAGGGTAGAGCCTAAATCTGCTCACTCATATCTAGACTGGCAAACATATGTAAAATCACAAAATAGCTTTCCCATGATCAATGGCAACCCAGATGCACAATTGCAAAACTTTGTCCATCCTTGTCCTTCCCTAGAATTGCCAAATCAGAAAGTGAGGTCCTTGGATCCCTGTATTTCTGGAACTGAATCTTTGAAAATGATCTCTCAAATTCCATCCCCTGCATCAACTCCTTTTGATGGTTGTCAGCATAACCTTTTAAGTTCTGCCCAATTCAACTGTAAACAGTGCTTGGAATGTGGTACAAAACCAACTCTCCAGTTTCCCTTCTCCAATCAAGAGTCTGGAGAGCATTTGCAGCCATCATGTTCTCAAAGCTCTTCAGTGAACCTTCCCCATTGGCTACTAAATGCAACAGAGCAGAAAGGGAGTGACCTAACTTCTCAACCATATCCTAATACAAGTGCTCAACCTCATCCCAGTACCATGTCTGGAACTAGGTTTCCAGCTAACCCTCCCCTTAATAAGAATTTGATTATGTCTTCTCACAACCCCAGCAATTCTCACCCTTGCATGAAGAGTTCATCTTCTCTAGCCTCTTTAGTTTACCCTCCACTTATCCCAGTCCCACCAGGATACAAATCTGCTTCCTTGTGGAATACAACTTCCACAAACAGGACCAAGGATGTAAGGATGAAAAGTATTCATCCTGGAGATCCTGACCATGAAAAGAAATTCAAAAAGAGAGCTGCTTCTAAAACAGACAATTCAACAAAAGCTGCAAAGAAACCCACTTTAGAGATGCAAGAGGTTCCAAGATCTCCAAAAGAATTGAAGAAAAATATGGAATTCACTTGCCATACACAATATAACAGAGAATCAGCTGAATCTGATGTATGTGGGGAGAAGGCAAGCAGCACCGGATACTGTCCAGTGAAGATTCAGGATGAATGTGGAATGTCATCTGATCACAATTCTTCTAATCCGGATGTTGTGACAAGATCAGGTCCTATTAAATTAAGCGCAGGAGCAAAACACATTCTGAAACCCCGTCAGAACATGTCTCAGTATAATTCTAGACCAACTCATTCAACCATACCCTTTGGAGCTGTTAACACAACTGATAATATTCCAGAATTTCAGGAGACATCAGCAAAGGTTTACAGGTTTTGAGAGTAAGTCTGGTTTATATCTGATTTTAATGAATTAATTGGCTGTATCGTACGTAAGGCATGCTTTCTAAAAGCAGTTTTTATGTGTTTTGTAGGTTGAGTTTTCTGTCTAAGATAGGAAAAAATTCCAATTGACAAGTATGCATCAATATTTGTTTCAAAATCAAAAGAAATTTACTCAACTACAGGTTTTTGAACAGTAGCTCTGATAATGTTGTACTGTTTGGCTGCGATCAAACTTCAAGATACCAAATGTCTGTCATTTAATTATGCTTTCAAATTCAAGTTTCTTAATCAGGTAACCAGATCCACTGGCCCAAGGAGTGTGGCATCCTGGAAATGTTAATTTCTTTGAAGTACATTCATGCTTCACTGATAATATCATCTTCTCTTAGTTTCTTACCTGAATCTTCTAGTTGCAATTATGTTTGAGGGTGATTATGCATGTGCATATCATGAAATAACGAAATATATTCTTCTGGATTTTGCTTAGGTATGGTTAATCGTGGAGAGATTCTTTTTGCATTTCTCTTGGTTGGATGAGTGCATTTAAGGTTTGATATTTATAGAAAGAAAATTTGTTACAAATATTCTGTAGATGAATCTCTATGTTATTTTATTTCTATTTGATTTTTATCTTTTACTATTTGTCTTGTATAAATTTGGGAAAAAAATACTTCATTCTCTGTTGGTGATGCTCCTATCATTAGGTAGTTTTGTGGTGTCATGGGCTCTTATTATTTGTACTTTCTTGTTGATTAATTCTTTATAATTGCTTTTAGCTTGCCTCATAATAGAGGTCCTTTGGTTTCTTCTCATTATAAAGGGTGTTAACAGCTGTACTTCCTATATCTTTTTATCATATTAATATATACTTCATTGTTAACCATCAACAGAGATATCAATCATGCCAAACTTGCCAAATATCTCTGGCAATCAAACTTGACTAGCACCCTTTACCAAGAAGCTCAGCCACCTTTAGTTGTGTAGTGACATATGGAATACAAATCTACCCAATAGAGATTTTCTTTTCAAAGTGCAACCAACTTCTATATGCTTTGTGTGATCATGCTGAACAAGATTTTGTAAATTATAATCACAATTTTGTTGACATAATACAAATTTATAGAATTATGAGTCTAGGAGTACTGAAGCCTAATTCAAAATGCAAAGGCTTGAGCTAGAACATTTTGCAAACTCACGAGTCATATGGCTGAATTCTGCCTGTCTTTAGATCGGGAGACTACAACTTGCTTTTTAACTTTACCAAGTAATCAGATAACCTCCCATATATGCACAACAACCGTCGGTAGAACTACAGTTAGTGACAAATCTTGCCCAATTTGCAAATTTCCATGATTAAAAAATAAAATTCCCTTCCTAGGTGAAGATTTTAAATACCTAATAATCTTGTTTGTTTTAATGATTCTACTAGGTTGGAGTATGAACTTGCTTTGATCCTACTGTTCCTATCTCTCTAGGAGGATGTGAGGATGTATTTCATTTGAGAAATATGCATGCTTCTTTTGTGAGAGCAAATTCAATTTCCAAGAAATATAAATCTTCTAGATCCTTAATCCTAAATTCATTGGCAAAGAAGAACCGAGTCTTTGAATATTGTTTAATCTGTCCTCTTTATCAATGATGCCATAAATATAAACAATTAATGCATCAAACCCAATAGGACTCTTGAGGATTGATTGCTTCTTACAGCTAGAGGTACACAATTTTTTGGCAACTGCTCTCTCCCTCATGCATGAGGTGGGCTTCATCCCTTTCTTCTTGTTCATCTCTAAGACATAAAGGGGGTTCTCTGACCCTTATCTTTTCTCACTTTATTATTAAGTTGTAACATTAATGAATATGAATAAAAATAATTTTGTATGAAATGTTGACCCAGTCCTTTCTAGCCACCCTTGAATTTCTTTTCACAATAACTCATCTTGGGGAATCAATCCCCTATACAACAAATTTTTATTTATTCCTTGTCTTGCTAACCAATTTACCACTGCATTTGCAAACCTTGGGACCCAGTTATAACTTGTTGTCAATTCCGTAGCCAACTTTTCAACCTCCCTTGGTATGTATCTATCTTTCCAAGAGCCTATACTGTTTTTAAGACAACTTATAATTGTATGAGTCTCCTTCCACCAATATGTCTAAATTACAAATATTCTCTGCAAGGAATTTGCTACCAACTGCTAGTTTCTATGGCTCCTTTACTTTGGCTTTTTTCTTTGAATATCCTAGCATTCCTTTCTTCCCAAATATTTCAAAGGGTTCCCAATGTGGTACATGTCTACAAAATGTTTCTCTCCTTTTAGGTGGAGAAAAGAATGAAATTTTGAATGGGATACCCACCTCTACTTGAGGACTCCACTTCCCACCAAACAAAATGAAAAAAAAAAAAAAACAAATGTTGGATAAAAAAAGATATGAGATTAGAAAAGAAACATAGGGCCCCTTCCTTTAGCAGCCGTCTTCCAAGTTCAGATGCATTTATTAAAAAAAAAAAATCTGTTAGAGCTTTACTTGCAAGAAGTGAACAATTAAGTTACTAGTTAATAACTTGGTACTCAAAATTTATCCTTATTGATAATTGATATTATTGCTTCATTGCTTTAGATTTTATGTAACTTAAGTGAATTGTGATTTGTGAATTAAAAATGCTTTTCATTTCGTTACTGTTATATAATTGCCTTAATGCTTTATATCCATTGTATTTACAATTCCATTGTTGGCATTAACCAAATCTGTTTATAAATCATATTACGTTTATTTCTTGTCAGTTTTTACCTGATTAGCCCTTGATTTTTCTATTTGAATGTGGCAGTTTTGGTAATAGGATGTTTTGCAATATATGTGATTTTTTTTTTTCAAAATCACACCTTTTTATTAGGAGTGATAAAAAAGTCCTAACATATTTTTTATCATTATATTAGTGATATTTCCAAATATCAATGAAACATTCTGAAATTCCAATAAAATTATTGGAAATATCTTGCCAATGAAATCACTGATAAGTTTAACAATTAGATATTTATAGTAATTAATGAACCTATTTAAGTCTATTAATCTTCTCTTATTTGATATGAATAGTTGTTTATATGGTTTTTTGAATTTTAAATGTGCAATTACTACAATCCCTTAAGTTTTGTAACAAAATCCATGATTTTGATACTTCCATTAATTTCTCTGGATTTTCCTTCCAAATATTTATCAAACTATAAATAATCCCCAAAACTTTCCTATTTCTACATGTCAGAGGTCTACCAAAATTGATGCTTATTTTGCTATGCTTTTATATTATTTTATTTTTTTATATTAGTTGAGAAATTGAAAAATTTATGTTCAGTAGACTAATGCCTCTTGCATTTTGGTTTATTAGCCACACCTTGGGATAGTGGAATGCCTAATGGAATGCTTCTATTTTTTAAAATATTCTTTGCAACATTTGCATAGTCATTAATAATGGGGTCATTTTTGGTGCACTGGTAAAATCTGGGGCTGACAAGCATGAGAATGTGATCACTTCATACATTAAATGCTGTAGCTTAGGTTCCTATCCAGTTAACCCCTACCAAGACCTTGTATTGTCAAGACCAGCATTAGGTGATCACCATGTACCATCACTAATTGAGCATTTATTGAGAGGGCATTGAAGTAATTGGGAAATATGATTCTTTGGGTTGATAATAAATGCATTTAAAAAATCCATATTCCATGTTTCCACCCCCAAAAGTTTGTATAATTCTTCTTAAATCTTAGCATGAGTACTGAAGGGAGCTTAGAATGGGTTTTCGTGAAAAATATGATGAACAATTGTTGCCAATAGCCTCCTAGGTGTATTCACATCCAATTGTTGAGGCTTTTCTTGATATTCAAAGGACTCAAATTTTGGCTCATGTTGATGCTTAGGCATTGGAACAACTTTCTTTCTTTCTTTTTTTTTTTTGATCAGTAAAGGATATTCATTAATTAAATTTGAAGTTAAATTTTAGTACAAATGTTGGACCATTCCAGCCAATCCCCAGATATAAGAGTTTACATTTTTTCCTAAAGCAATTGGTTTCTATTCACCCTTTGTTTTACTAGTACTGAAGAAAACTAAAGAGAGGAGAGCTGAGAGTTCGGCAATGAGGGTCTGAGAATGAGAGTTTCGAACATTCCCTCTCTCAGCACCCTAACACTATTTTATTAAGATATATTTGAATAATTACAAGGAGGCCCTTAGTTGGGCAAGAATTTACAAAGAACTTAATATTGACAGGATGGGCCCARAATAAGGCCCATTACAGAGAAAACATAAATAACAAGAAAGAATAAACAACTTATCGGCCATTCGGCCCATCTTCTCTACAAGTACATTTGCCAACCCATTTGCAATTCTTTTAATCCAACTGAAGGTGATATTGAGTTCCCTTGCTAGGTAGTCTATCTCCCTGAAGGCGTGTTTAAAACTCCAAGGTGCTGAATTACAATGCCTTGTCCAAGATATGACCAGTTTTGAATCTCTTTCAACTTCAAGTTCTAGGAAACCAAGCTGTTGTGCTAATCTCAGCCCTTGCAACAGTGCCATTATTTCAGCTCTAACCGAGCCACTAAAACCAATTGGTCCTGAATACATAGCCAACACCATGCCTAAGTGATTCCTGAAGACACTTCCTATGCTTGCCCTCCCTAGAGTGCCCATAGAACTACCATCAAGGTTCAGCTTCAATTTGTTTTAATGTTCTTTGATTGGCTTGAGACAATTTTTCTTGTTCTTTGATTGGTTGCTTGGAATCTTTTAGTTTTCTATTTTTCTTTGTTTCATCTCTTTGGTATGATCATGAACCAAAGTAATGACATACCTCCCACTAATTTCCTTTGCTTCAGTAATAATGTTGTTGAATACTTCATCAGCACATGTACCATCGACTCTGTTAGATTTTAGGTCCTCCACATCTTCAATTGTAATGTACTAACTGGAGGTAGATCAATATGGAACAATCTGATTCTATAAACCCTTCCAAAAATGTAAGCATGCTTCTTGAGATCATATGTAGCTTTTTGTTCTTGTAGCCAACATCTTCCTAAAATAACATGATAAATCATCGTAGGGACACTTTGACAAAATGCCTCATACTTTTGAATAATGAAATTGAGGTACAATATATTACTAAAAGATCTACTACATATGTAATCTGCATTTAAATAGAACTCTTCTTTATGGACTTTTTAGAAAGCAAATTCTCAACTGTTTTTACCAAAAACAAAATTGGCAACTCTTCTAATCGAAAGTATACTTCTAGTTCAAAGTTCTCAATCCATTATATCTAAACAAATCCTCGGAGAAAGCAAATTGCTAAGATACCAAAAATAAGATGTAGTGCAACCAGTTAAAGAGAGGTTGTACATTGACAAATTTGGTTGAAATCTCACCCTTTCGCTATGGGGTAATATGGAAGAGCCCCAGGATCTTTTTTCTCCCATTATAATGCCAATGCCAATGTATTGAGAATCTTTCAAAAAGTTTTTTTGATATAGAAAACTTTTCATTAAATAAAAAAGGAAGGATTACAATCACAAAATGAAGATATTTCACCAAAACAGAAAACTCAGCATTTTCCATTCAGGATTACATCAACAAAATCCATATTTCTCATTGAGCCCTATCATTTAAGCCCAAAGTAGACCAAAAAGTTAGTTCTTATCCCTATTAGTATCTTTAAATTCTTGATGGACCACTGCTCATTTAACAATTACAGCGCAGATTTCAGCAGTCATTTTGCTTCTAGCCCAACATTTATCCTCAAATATATGTTCACTTCTTTCTCTCCAAATTCCCATATTGCAAATGGAACGATACTACACAGAAACTGAGCCTTTTTATTAACAGATATGTTAGGTGAACTAGAAAAAAATAATTGTCTGCAGACAGAAACATTCAAAATAAGTTTAACTGTTAACTTTCAAAGTTTTTTCAATATCAACAAAATTATACTGATATTTTTCTGAATTTCTTGCTGATGAAATCATTGACAAGTTTTATCACTTGAATATAATTGATATATCTATCTTAAGTCTCTCAACCTTCTCTTATTTATATGCATATTGTTTGCTATGTTTTTGAGTCTTAAATGCAATTAAACTTCTTCTGACAAATCTTGAGGTTTCATAACAAATTTCATGTTTTTATAATCGTTCCCTAATTTCTCTATATTTTCTCTTGGAAAAACTAGTGAAATATTCCTAAAACCATTTCTTCATGGAAAAATGTCCACCAAGATTGAAGCCACAACCTTTATTGAAAGAACAGAGTTAAGTCAAGGGAAATAGCGGAAATGTAAAGTAGTTATAAGGAAATAAAGATATAGGATAATTGAGAGGTCTTACCACAAAGCAGAGGCAAAATTTTATCATATATTCATTGTCCTAGAGAGAGAATTCAGAGAAACCCCTATCACATCTCCTGAAATACTAATTTATTAAGGCATGATTATTCATAATAAATTCTTCTAAACGTAGAATAAAGATAATTATATATTCAATCAAATCTTTTAACTAGAAAGTTTTTCTGAAGTTGTTCCATTGCTAGACCTCATAAGCCGTTAGACCAACTATTTGAAAGGTGAAAGCCTAAGTATCGTGCATAGCAAAGCCTTTATAGCTCTAACAAGTCGCCTTTTTGTGCATTATCTGTGGTGCAGATACAGATTCAAAACACACATAGAAAGTTTCTAAATGCTATCCAACTAAGAAGAACTACTTTTATTTTGATAAACAAGAAGGTAGATAGTGTGTCTCCTTTATATGTTGAAAACCACAATGTTGGGAAAGATTTTTGCATCAAATGGAGTTTCACTATAGGTTGTAAGCTTCAGCAATTTTTGAGTTCATTATATCATAAATTGATATCTTCCAATAAATCAACTTATTGAGTTGTATATTTCCACTCTTGATACTTATTTTCAAGAACCAGTGCTTCATGCAGTTAGGTGACTTTAAGTTTCATCTAAACAATCATGGGCCTTTGTGGGAAAAAAAACTAATTCATTTCCTGTTCCTTTCCAAATAGGAAATTGACCACAGTCAAACCTATAGATAACCTATAAGGGCACTTAAATAAGGACGCAAAATTCTTACAGTAACTTTTATAACCCATTACTAATCTTTCTAAACTAAACAAACCAAAGATAACTCCAAGATGTACCCTAAAAAATTAAAAATAAGACTGAAATCTTACCACAGATTGACATCCTACCAGTATAACTTCTATAATTCTCCCAAAACACATCAAATTTACAAATATATTGGTATAATTGGATAGACAACTCAATAGACTATTTAATGACACCAAAATCAAGTAAAACAAACAAGTTTTGTCCTCTGAAAGTTAGGCTGATGAAAAGGGATGTGATTAGAACCTCAACTTTCAATATTCTCTCTAAAGAAGACACTTAAAATATTTATGACCATCCTAGATGATTAACCTTATTTCTAAGATAGTAACAAATTAGATCAGATGGATTTGAAGGGGTGCTAATGAGCTGGCCGAAGGCCTAGCTAAATCAGCAACATCAAGGCAATCCTTAGAATGGTGATGTCCGGGACCTGGAATTGTGAAGTTGGTTATTAACACAACTTAAGAAAGACTGGTCAGGTTGTTGCTCTTTTGTATTGCACATGCTACCTACCTGCTATCCATCTTTGGACAGCAAGGTTTCCCATTATAATGAATACAATTCATTCTGTTGATTATCAAAAAAGATACTAACAAATTAGAAAATAACTCTTGACCAATAACCCAAAAATTATAAAATTGGCACTAGTCTAGGAAGATGGATCAACCAGAAAGAAAGATTTGAAGATTTGGGTTTGGTTTTTATGGTACATTGGGCTCAGGTATGGTCAACTTACTCTGGATCTCAATCTATTTGCCCTATGTAATCACTTAACAGGAGTTTTTCTTACCATGATAAAAGAACTCCGAGACTAAAATTCTTCAATATGAAGGGGATCGATATATTAAAGGGTTGATGATTCAAAAGAAGGGAGCAGTATGGAAAACACCTTGCTAATAGTTCCAGTGGACAGCAAAGGGATGTCATTCCAGGTTATCAGGCACACCTTGCTCCCTTGCAGGTTTGGCCTATCATGGAGGATACTCTTGAAAACCACATGATCGAAACCCACATTACTAAGGGTAGTAAAGCTTTGAAGGTATATGATCAGAAAATGAAAGGAAAAAAGGAAGACAGTAAGGTTCCCAAGGCCTGGTCTCAGATACAGATCAAGTAATCTGGGTGCAGATGAAATCGTGTGGGATTTGCTGTTACATGATCTCCAGAAAATGGTAGTGCTGTATGAACACACAAGTGAATTTTTTATCAATTTTATGATAAAATACTAATTAAATTCTCTATCAATCATATGATTAGATGTTGATATGGAATGTACTACTTGTTGAAACTTTTCTCTATCATCCAGTTGTAAATTCCAGCATGAAACCCAAAATCCTTGCTTGGCTTTGTGCACCCATGTTGCAGACCTAGATTTAGGGCAGGGGTGTGGTGGTTATTGAATCTGGAAATAGACTTCTAAGGTGGACTGTCTCATGATCAAGGGCATGGAGCATATATATTGTCAATGGGTTGATCCTATGGAAATAGACTTCTAAGGTGGAAATAGACTTCTCAGCTTTCTTGGCAGTTTCCATGGGGTTATTGAATCTGGAAATAGACTTCTAAGGTGGACTGTCTCATGATCAAGGGCATGGAGCATATATATTGTCAATGGGTTGATCCTATGGAGCCAGAAAAAACTTTCAGAATTTTGTTAGATGACATTGCAAAAGCTGTAAAGGTCAACATAATATTGGAATTTGGATTTTTACAGTGATAATATTGGCCTGCTGCATACTTTTGAAGGCCGACAGAAAGGAACAAAACTTGCCAAAAGGCTTCTGATCACTGACAACCATTCCACTTTAAAAGAAAGACAAGTAAAATGATCACTGACAATCATTCCACTTTAAAAGCACAAAACTTGCCAAAAGCCTTCTGATCTATTATACCTAACATGCTTTGCATAGAAGTGTTGGACAACACACTTTTCATATATGACACCGGATACTTCATTGACACTTCTAGATGTACTCTATAGCATTAAACCTTAAAATATGTTAAATGGAATGCCTTAACCAATTATACTATAAAAACTCTGTACGCTTTAGATATTTAATTAAATTTGACAAGATATAAGTCATGAGAGATTTATCTTCAAAAGCTAAATATAAAAGCATAATATAAGTATATTATATAGGATACATACCCATATTTATGCACTGGATATTAGGAAATAGAGATTTGTATCCCCATTTCCTGTTCCATGTTTGTGTCTATATTTGTACATAGGCATCATAGTTTCTGATATGTCCTTTACCTTTTAAATTGGAATGAATACGATTTTGAAAGGAATGATTTATATTAGTTTGGGATGTCTTATCTTTGGGCTTGCTTGCCCATTTGTGTTCCTTCTGTTTTAGTATCTTGAGTGGGCCTTGGGCTGTATGTTATTTTTTTTTATTTCTTTCTTCTGCCTAATGAGGGGAAGATTTGTCCTTTCCATTGTAATTGTACTTAAGATATAAATCTCCTTAGTAGGGCTGGACAGAATTGAATTGCTGCTACCCATTCTTCCATCCTCTTCTCTCTTGATTTTTTTCCTTTTCTTTAATCTTCTTGCAGGTTAAATTTGATTTCATGGTATCAGAGCATTGAAGCCTGCTTGATGTTGTTTCCTTCTATTTTCCCTTCTCTGATTTGCTCGAACATTCTTTTTTTGAGCATCCTAAAATGTAGGATCTAATTGTAGAAAATCTTCCCCTGGAGAGGGTATCAAAGGCCCAAAATATGCCTTGTTAGGGTGATACAAATCAAATCTAGATGTTGAAATCAATAAAAATCAGCAGCCCAACAGAAGAAAGAGTTTGAGATTCAGCCTGACTGGAAGCAATTAGGAGATTCACTTATTCATCTCATGCAGATTTTCAAGATTCCTATGGAAAGTGTTTACTTCCATGTTCAGGGTCTCTGACTTTCATCCAACCTCAACAGCAGAGATTTTTTCTACATGGCCCAGGCTGACTGGGAGCAAGAAGGTGAAGATATTATGGAATTGCATCCCATTTGCATATGTTGGAACATATGGAAGGAAAGAAATAGGACTTTCAAAGACAAGGCTTGTAGCATGGAGAAGATGGTTGCGGCTGTGGGCAGAACAGTGGTTGAATGGGTGCTGATTCTTCCTAAATTCAGTCAAATAAAAAAGGAGGATTTTGGAGTAGGTTAGGAGAGGTCCTGGGATATCAGATATGTAATGCAGAGCCTGTAATCTAGTTTGAAAGATGGCTTTTTTGTTTTCTTTGTTCTCGGGTGCTGACTTAACACCCTTACTTGTATCTTCTTTTCATTTAATAAAATTTTTTGCTATTTACTTATCAAAAAAAGTAAGGAGATTAAGCTATTTATTTCAGCCCTAGAGTTGTTTACAAGTGGTATTTGGGGTCTACTAGCAGATTCATGCCTCAGAGATGTAAACACATACTAGTGATGTTACATATATAGATCATAGGCCAGGAGACATTGGAACAAGTCTTGAGAACTAAATATTACTAGCCTTCAGATTACAAATGTGAAGCTGGATGAGTATAATTATAGGGAGTGGTTTGTCTCATCCAAGTTGTTTATTACAGGTAGAAGTTTGTTTGGGTACATCAATGGCAAGGCCAATGAACCCAAAGAAGAAGAACCTAGTATAAAACTTGGCATAGGGAGAATGCAGTGGTGATGTCATGAATTTTGTCTTCCATGACCCCCAAGGTTTCAAGGACTGTTAACACTTTTTTACAGACTTTAAGAATTGGGAAAAGATTTCTATTACATATGGACAGAGGAAGAACAATGCATGGGTGTACAAGTTGATACAAGATTTAACAGCTCAACAACGAGATATGTGAGTAGCTACTTTACTAACCTTGAAGGTCTCTGGGAAGCACTTGATCATATCTTGGTTATTGATTGGGATAGTGCCAGTGACAAGGAGTGCATGATAAGCAAGTTGAAGAAGGTAGGGCATTCAAGTTTCTTGCTGGTTTAGATCCTGAAGAAAAGAAGAGATGCAGGTTGGTGTCTACTAGTTGATGTGAAGAATGGGAAACTATCAACTTTTTCAATATTGGTGAATTTGCCAATTTTTTGTCAAAATTTCCCTCTGTAGGCAATACAAAAGATTTTTGGTATATTTTTCTCTCACATCACCAATTTAGTACAAATATTTTGAAAATCTCCGATAAATTAAACATTTAATGTTCAAAATTTCAGAATATTGATGACGCTTTCTGAAATTTCACTAAAATCATTGGAATTTTAAAAGAAAAATGTGGAGACTCATAAAATATTGTGTTAGTCAAAAATTAAATACTTAACCAATATACACAAAAAAAATTATTGTTTGAGTATGTATGAACATAATATGTGTATTGTATGCTTGTAAGTTGTAACCATAGCACAACTATAATTAAAAACTTTTTAAGAACTAAGTGATTATAAATTTATAAGTCATAACCATATACATATATTTATACATTCAAATAATTTATAGGGAACAAGACAAAAGTATAAACATTTTAGTATGCAATTGCACCTATTATAGAAATATTGTTTCTGTAACAAATGAATATAAATCAGTTATTAAATATTATGAAAAAGGTAAGTGCTAACTTTAGAAAATTTATAAGATAAGCATAAACTTATTAGTGTAAAATACAGATATATGTAAAGTTGATGGATTATTGTATTTTTAAGCATAAGTGTAGAAATAACATAAATCTGTACATTTAGTTAATATATTAGAAAAATAAGGAAACATGATCCTTCGATGGTAATGAATTAAATGCTTTTTGTAATTTGTATACCTATTTAAGTCTATTAATCTTCTCTTATATGATTTATGTAGTTGTGTTATGGCTTTTTGAGTCTTAATTGTGCAGTTACAGTTTGTAACAATCATTTTCATTAACAAATTCCATGTGTTTTGTAATCTTTCCTTGATTTCTCTAGATTTTCTAGATCTGTTAGTGAAATTAACAAAGTTTTCCATAGATCACTTGTGGCAAAACATCCATCAATATCAAAATTGCAAACCATGGGGACCACAAAATCTATTTCAGACATTTTGATTGCACTTCAGAGAATTGGAACTTGACTTTGAAATTGAATTTCAATCACCAACTCTGTTTTGACTTCTATTTTCAAAGAATTCAAAGTTGTATTGCTAATAACAGAGGAAAATAAAATTTAATAATAAAAAGTCTCAAGTAGCAGATCTGCCATTGACAATGCATAGTAGGTATGAGTTGATAGATGAGTAAATCTGTTATCCAAAAAAAAATAATTGTATTGAGGAGATATCTATCAGTTTTTCATTTGTACATTCATTGAATGTGGTTCACCCAGACATGTTTTTCTTAGCATAAAATCAGAATGCCACAATCATGGAGAAATATGAAGTGGGTGGTAACATAAATTAGGTGCCATGCTTGCAGTGCAATGTCAATGATTGGGAGGTGGAGTGGATAATATCCTTGCTGGAAATTGCTAGGATTTAGAAAGCAGATAGCTCTGAGACACTCACCGATACTTTATTTTATGAATATTTTCTGGGATAGCCTGGTATTCTTTTCCGTGGAGGTGGATTTGGAGAGCTAATGCCTAAAAAGATCTCTTCTTTCATGTAGACTGGTATTCTAAACAAAATGCTTAACCATAAACTATCTAAGAAAAAAAGGAATGGCCATTGCAAATGTCTGTAGCCTGTGTGCATGAGGAAGATTGTTGATCCATTGTAACATCACTTATGCAATCCGAGAACACTTTTGATGCTATTAAAGTGAGATGGGTAAAGGCCATTGTTGGTCCCTGCTATCTGGGGTCTTGGGAGGGGTGGACTGGATATGAACCTAACCTAACATTTTTTGCTTTGCACACAGTGGCCTACCTCAGACTCAAACTTGTGTTCTCATGCTTATCAGCCTGTGATTTTACCACTACAAGCATTTCCCTTTAAGTGGGAACAGATTACTCCTGGAATCTGTCTATGCTGATGGCTTCTTGGAAGGTGGAACATTTTAGCACCTAGGGAAGGATTTTGAGGAATCTGTTACATTTGAAATGTGTTAGAGTGTATGGAAGGAGATGAACCAAAGAATTATCAAGGGGAAAAGTATATGGAGGTTATTATTGGAAAGGTTGAAGGTATTCCTTGCCATTGGTTGTTTATTCTAGAGGGATTTTCTGGTTGTAAACCCATTCATTTTATGGATCGCCAGGATAGATTAATCTTTGACTCTTCCTTCTTCTGTACAGGGGAAGCTTCTGTTTGTTGTTTACGTTTGTCCTGTATTCTTCCATACTGTACTTCCCTTTATCTTGAAGGAACCTCCTCCTCCTTATATAATGGTTTCCGTTATCAAAAGAAAAAAGACATGTTCTCATACTAAAGAACTAGGAAGATGTATTCCCATCACTTATGACACGCCTGTCAGAATCTTATAGGACATTGCCTGAATATTTAGTCCATTGTTAATTTGGTACTGTATAGAAGCTTGGTTTCAAGTTATATCAAGTATAACGTCAAAGGGTATGGAAAGGAAATCTTTGAAGTAGGGCCAATTTATAGCAATTAGTAATTGTCATGGTATTTAATTCCAAAATGGTACAGGAAAAGCACTTTTAGAAGGTCATGAAGAGCTTGTCAGTTGTAAAATCTGAATGCTATTTATGCTCTTGTAGATGTGTAAGTTGAGACTGCCATATGCATGCAATCAGATGTTGAAAATCAGTAGCTCTAACCTGTCTCATGTGCTAGGAAAAGGCATAGATAGATGGTTAGATGCAATTCATACTTAAAAAGCTTCTAATTTTTTCCATGCACATGGATTCAATTTGCATAAGTAATCTAACCATTTGTCATTTCTGGTTCTGAAGAATTTTCTCTCATATTGGGACCAAGAATCTGCATTCTGCACTGCATTTTTATGCCAATGATGTGGGTACTAACTTTGAATCTATCTTCAGAATTATTGTTTTTTTTTTTGCTAAACTTGAATTATTGGTTGACATCCTTTGTCATCAATCAAGGTATATGGGTCAGTATGAGCCATCACCAATCTGAGACAACCTAGATTTGTTCTGAACGATTATTGGGCGTGGCAGTCAAATAGAATGAAGATTCACTTCATACCAAAGGCCCAAAGCACATCAGAATTGAGTGACAATGTGTACATAACATGTAATTCCTATGAGACTCATTTCAAATGGCTGAACCGCAACATCTTTGATGAATCTGTAGGTCAAGGATATGATTTTATTCATTTCTTTCTAACCAAAAAAATGGAGTTTGATGAGGTCATTTAGATGTCTCTATTGTTGATGTGCTTTTCACATTTGCAGGTATATTGAACAATGCATGGTCATTCTGATAATTCCTTTGATTCACTTGTAAGATGTGGAGCACAGGCAAATCGATCGTGTTCTAGGAATTTTGGATATAAAGAAAATTTTCCCATTAAAAGAGAGCATTATTCTTCTGCCATGAAAAGGGGTCAAGATGCCACATGTACAGTCTTTTGGAGAATCCCTTAGATAATTTAAGAATACTGTTCATTTAATGATTTCTATTATTACAAGCATCAGAATATTTGTATCATAAATTGGGTAGAAGTGGAAACGCTGCTTCAAAGAAGCTTGATATATCCTTAGTATTTCTTTGCTTCCTTTTCAGCCTGCAAACATGTAAAGTAAGATTTCATCACCTCCTGGAAATTCAACAGAAGGAAAGAAGAGAAAGAAAACAATGTGCCTTGGTGTTTTTGTGAATTGTAAGATTAAATCAAACAATTTTTATTCTATTATCTACTGCCAATGCCCATGGAAATGATTGGATCTCATACCGCTTTCATGACCCTCTCAAAGGCTTCAGAGCCATGTTTCTGAATAAACCGCTCAACCGCCTGCCTAGCATTCGGGCTCATCATCTGGAGAGCTCTCCGTTGCCCCTCCGGATAATTCGAGCTGACTTCACCCCAAATCCTATTTGCAAGCTTCCTCACCAAATTCTCATAGATATAAGCTGCACCATTAAAGACTGGTAGCACCAGCCACAAACAGAATACAAGCTTGATATATGGCCAAAGGGGGAACCTGCAGTGCAATATCTTGCCAAATTGTAACCAAGTCTTACAAGATAAAAACATCATATTCATGTATTGCGTGCACTATATCACCATTTACCATGCTAGGATTTTCCAACAAGAGAGCTCAAAAAGTGTGATGAAAGAGTACAAAATCCAGTATGTTAGCCACTGCTGATCATCTACAGTTGTTGGACTTTCAATCGCTCGCATTGATGCATATCTGATCATTGGATCAAAGAATTAAAACTCATCGTTTTATGAACAAGGGGTGGGGAATGAAGAATTTCCATAACTACAACTATAGTGTTGGTGACTTACAAAGGAAAGAGGAGCATCACACCCGGCCTGGTTCACAAATCGAGATGAAATTGTGTTAAAACATATCCCATGAAATATATTTTCTTTACTTTGTACGTGTATTGTGGATGAAAGAAACATACCCAATTAGTGCATCAAGATGCCTTGCAATTGTTCCCAGAAAACCCATATTGTGCTGCTGTGGTTTCTTCTTTTCTTTTTCCTTTCTCTTCTGATCAACACTCTTTGATGATTTCCACTGGTATGATTTGGAGCATGAGATGTCCCAGAGCTTTTAAAGGGAAGTAGGGTGGTGAGTAGGTGAAGTAAAGCATTTTTGTTGGAGCTGCCGAAGTCTTCTTTCCTTCAACCAGAAGGAAATCCAGAAGAGAATAATGAGACGGAATCATAAAATAATAGCCTCCTCCACCCCCTTTTACTTTCTTAGCCACTAACACAAATCATAAAATAATAGCCTCGCAACTTCTATTAATTGATTGTATCGGAGGATCAGCTCGGAGAATGAGAGGCTGACGTGTCGTATCGGGTTTATTTGCTTCGGCTAATTTACGCGACGAGATTCCCCATTCTTTAATTCTTCTCAACTGCTTCGAAAACAAAAAAAAAAAAAAAAAATCTCCTCAACTGGAGATCCACGCTTTTTAAAGAATTGACAATTGAGACCCACAGATGCACGCTTGCAGCTGGATGCCTGGATCCACAATGAAAAAGGAGGATTCGCTCCTTTAAATGCCATCTAAGTCGGTTTGATAAAACGAGCCCACACATGCTGCACTTATCGTTAGCTCTCGCAAGGTGCAAGGTGTAGCTGAACGCGGGCTGAGGCTGTAGAACCAATGATAAGCTGTTAAGCGAGCTGTGAAACGATCGGTGTGGCCGTGTGGGCACAGGTTTGCCCTGATAGAAGCGATCATGATACAGGTTCCGCGTCAGTATTTAAATACATGGGGCCTGCAGCCTGTAAATTTATTACAGACATGGAACTTCAGTCTCTTAGTGCAGCAGATCCTGACACACATGGAGCGCAGGGCTGTATTGCTGCAAGTCTGGTTGCAAAGAACTTCAAGTATGTCGGGTTCGGGCGGGCTGGTTAGGATCTGTTGGAAATATAATGCATGGAGAATGCCGGATATGGTATTGGAACTCGATCTGAGTTCGAGTTCTGCTTTCTTTCCAATTCTGCAAAAAGCAAAGTTACTGACCCTTACCCATAAAAGAATAATTTGAATTTTACTAAAGGGCGAAATTTATCGATATTTTCAGCCTGTCGTTGACCTAAGCAGTTAGGGTTCAACCATCCAATGCACTGGTCACCCAATCACAATAATGGTTGGTCCAACCCATAACCCACTGTGGTCGTAAAAAATCATTGATTAGGTCAAAGACAGGAACCCATCAACCCAAACAGTTGTGTCATCAAACCGATTGATTTAGTTAGGTTGTGTTTGTTACCATTGTGATTTTCAATTGGGACCTGTTCCTCACATAGCACTCCTTACACCGACCTCACAGCCACATCCTACTATGTATTGAGAACATCTCCTCATGAAATATTAAATACAATTATGGAAATGTTCCTGACATGCGACCAGGACATGCTGTGAGGTCTGTGTGAGGGATACACTTTGCAAGGAGCAGATCCAACTCTGCCATTTCAGGCTAGAGAGGCAATAGCATTTCATGTCAAAACACCAACACAACATTTTGACACGAAACCTAATTGGTACTTATTGCTGACCAGTGTTTTGTTTGCTGTTAGCATTGCTATCCACGTTTATATGAATTGTTTATATTCAATTGATTCCACCCTATTATATTACTGATTCTGATTCTCATCCAATGGTCAAATGAAAGCTACGAGGAAATCCAACATCCCCCTAGTAGGGTTAGGCTGTTAACAAAATGCTAAAAACCGATCAAACTGATTCGATTCAATTTGATTTTGTCAACTTTCAAATCGAAACCGATTTAACCGACGTAAGTATAAAAACCTCAAAAACCTACCATCTTGCCCATTCTTCTCTTTGGCTTTATACAAATATACAATTTTGTCTTTATATGTGTCTCGTGTCAGAAAAAAAAAAAGTCAAATTTTCTTTTGTTATTTGAATAAGGTGCTACTCCGCTCAACCGTCTCTCTCCTCTTCAATCCCATTAAAGTTAAGTCAGGTCGATCATCTCAATCAATAGTCAGTTTATTGTTCAAATTACCCCTTAATTTTTTAATTGAATAATTCTGCCTTTTGCATAAAATATTGAGACTAACACCTTATTTGCATAAAATTCATGCCTTTGATAAATAATACCATATTTGCTACCGCGTTTATGATTCTAATTCATTGGTCAGTAGTTTTTGGGATATCATATCTTTTTTATATCATAGTTGAACCCTACACAGCAGAAATATCTACTAAGAGAAATGTAGCTCAGAAATTAGTGGCATTAGTTATTATATTTGCAAAAACAAGAATAAAACTTATATATGTCTTTAGACTACATTTAGATGATATTTGTGGTTAAAATTTCTTTGTACACTCTATTTTTTGTGAAAGTTCCTCTCTTCTTATTTGGTTATTCAATTTTGATGAGTAGTTTTATTGTTGAAGATGATATTTTTCTTGACAAAGCAACGTATAGTTTTATTGTTGGCCCTAAGCTTTAATTTATTTATTGCCATTGTAAAGCTTAAACGAATTGAAAATTGTTTCCGCTTGAGTTTAGATGGGAACCCTTCATCCTCAGATTGTGAGTGGTATTTGGGGAAAAAAAACTTGTTTTCCGACATGTTGTCCTGCAGAAATTTATGTGTATATGACATTGCGTTGGAAACTCTTGCAAATCATTCTTGTTCCATTGCATAAACCATTCAGTAGATCCAAGTTTCAAATGGCAATTGAATGTTTATAGTGTCTTTAAGAGTTCTATCTAAAGTTTCAATTGCTTTTCGTTTTGCCATTGGTGCCTCATCCCATATGATTAGATTTGCTCTTCGTAAAAGCTCTGTTATAATACTTTATTTTGATATATTACACATACTGAAGTCAGTGGCATTAATAGGAATTTTGATCCAAGGTCATCTCCCCCCCGCCTTAAGATACATAAGCTATTTATTTTTCAACTATCCTTATTTAGTTTATAGATACAGAAACTACAATCTTATCATATTCCAATATGTCTTCGCATGTGTACCAGCTTCCATAGGGGACTAGGTAAAGTTAAACACTTTGGATGATTTACAAATTGAAAAACCCAACCTTTTCTTGTCCCCCAAGTGGTGTTGTCTTTGAAAAGTTAGTGGAGAGAGTTGTTATTATTTCTTTGTCTCCTATCCTGTGGCTGAAAGCTTGTGGGAAAAGATTATTGCACTTTTTGGGTATAGATGGTCAGCTACTACACAAATTAGTGGCCTTTTTGACCAATCTTTCTTCAATTGGTCTAAGCGGAGGGGTGGATTATTGTGGAGTTGTATTAGGGCTGCATTGATTCGGACCATTTGGGAAGAAATTCTAGAATTTTTAATGACAAAGAAAGAAATGTATAAACTCTTTTGAACTACATCAAAACAAGGACTATACATTGGGTTAAAACCTTGAAGCGGTTTTCCCCATTCTCCTTTGATGATATATGGAGGAATTGGGAAGCAAGTGGTACTTTCCTCACACACTAAAGCCAAGCCTAATCCAGAATGGGCTCCTCCAGAAGAAGGATTCCTAAAACTAACTATGATGGCAACAGTCTTGGCAACCCATGACCTTCAGGTATAGGGGGTGTTATAAGGCATGGAGGGGGGAATATATGTGCATTGTTCTCAAACTTGATTGGACCAGGGGATTCCGTCTTTCCCCCAAGCAGTTCTGCAAGGGGTACAACTCTCTAAACAGTTGAATGTGGAGAGATTGATAGTTGATATTTGATAATGGCTAGCAAAAATCTCTTCCTGATTGGAGGTTTCAATTTGAGAGAACTATGAAATCTCTTGCTAATGAACTCATCAAGGACTAGGTAATTGTGAACAATCTGGCACCTAAAAATCAGCTTGGGGTTTTAGATTCTTGGGTTCAGATACCACCTAATGATGGTGACAATGATGGAGGCATATTGGGTTCTGGTGAAACAAAGTCCTATAAATTTAGGTCCTATGTTATGTATTTGGATGCAGTGACACTGTAGAGATATGCAACCATGAGGACCAAAGAAGCTTTCTTTGAAATAAAAGTAGACACAGGCCTTGTTTGATAGGCCAGACATCAAAATTGCAGAGGATGCTTCAGTTGATACATCTAATGATGAAGTTATTGGGCTTACCTTTTTGGGACTGACAATGCTATTGTTAGTCTTGGGGGCAGTTACATTTGGGTCATTTTTATAGGGTGTAGAAAGTTATGTAGAATCTAAAGAACAATCTGCCACTTTCTGAATACGCTAGGGTTATAAATATTTGTGCATGTAATTGAAAACAAAGTGGCTTTTAGGCTTCAGAAATATAAATTAATAAATATAATGGTGAGATCTCTTTCTTCTTTTGGTTCTATATTGAAGTATGAAATGTACGGGTATCATATCTACTTATACTATTATCAACTATCAATCTCTTCCAAGCAATTCTTTAACTAAGCAAGAGGGTTTCTAGGAAATCTAAATTTTGGGCTCAATTGTAAGTTGAATTGTACCTTAGGCTGCATCTCGTGCCTCCTTTGGATTGCCATACTGTACACATTTTAGTTAATTATTAATGAAATATTTCTTTACCTATCAAAAAAATAAAATAAAATAAGAACTGAAACATCAATCCCTCAACATACCCCTTGCATTAAAGTCTTTGACTTTCACCTAGACATATTACAATATTATTTTAGTGTTTCTTTTCCATAATGCATTTCCTATAATACCTCAAACTTGTAATCCGAATCGGGTCTAAGCTTGGGCAATTATGCATTCATATCTCCAATCATGTACCTCGATAATTAAAAGGTCCTTCTTCACTTTTTCTCAACTTATAAATTTTTATTTATTTAGTGATTTTATTTTTCAAACCCTTTCTATTGTGATAGATTTCCTCATCTATTTGACGCTACAAACAGGAAAAAAATAGGTAATTATGAGGTGGAAGAATTTGAAAATTTCACCTTAAAGGCCTAATACTATGAGAGAAAGAGGAAAGTTGAAGTGGTAGGTTCTACTTGTCGAGTGAGGGAGGATGGAATATTGTTGTACTATGCCTTGGCTGCATACGTTCTCTGTTGACTTGATTAATGATAATTGTATAATAGGCATTGTCATTTCTTTAGGTTGTATTTGTTTCTTTGTAAAATTTTTTATGCTAAAATATTTCAACTATTATTTTTATTATCTCTTTTATAATGAAAAGCCTAGTTTTTTGCTACT